GGGCGACAATGCCTGCAAGTGGATGGAGGGCGGGCACAGGGGAGGCGGCGCAAGCGACAGGCGCCCTGCCAGCACGCTCAACGCCAGCCACAGCCACCAGCAGCTCCGCGTCGGTGAGCGAGGCGGTGGGCAGCGCAGCCAGGCGGCCCGGGAAGGTGTCCCACCACGCCCGGAGGGCAGCGGGAGAGGCAGGCGGGGCAGGCGTGGGGTCAATCGCGGGGGGACGGGCCGGCGGCAGGCCGGCAAAGGGAGCAGGCGGCTCCGCCCCGCCAGCAGGCACAACACCCGTGGGGGAGCCGGCAGCAGACACGGCGCCGGCAGGCGGGGCGCCAGCGGCGGCGGCACCGGCGGCAGCCGCACCAGCGCCAGCAGGCGAGGTGCCAGCGGCGGAGGCGCCAGCAGGCGGGGCGCCAGCGGCGGCGGCACCAGCGGCAGCCGCAGCAGCGGGAGCAGGCGGCCGGCCGGCAGGCGCGGCGCCAGCCGGCGGGGCGCCAGTGGCGGCGGCACCAGCGGCAGCCGCAGCAGCGGCAGCAGGCGGCTGGCCGGCGGGCGGAGCGGGCTCGGTGGGGAACAGGGAGCGGCGCCACACCACGGCAGTACCTGGCTGCCCCGCCACCAACAGCTCGACCTCGCGAGGCAGGGTGTCGTCGGAGCGGCGGATCACCAGGGAGAACCGGTCAGAAGCCATGCCGCAGTCCAGATGGATGCGGGCCATGCTCGTGACGCATGGGTAGGCGGCGCGGAAGTGGGCGATGAAGGCGGCGGTGGGCACCTCGGCAGGCACACCGGACAGGTAGGCCTCCTGCTCATCAAGCAGACGGCCGTCGTGGATGGTGGCAGGGGGCGCGTCGGCCGGCCAGGGGGCCGGCAGCCGCACGCTGGTAGGGCGCAAGGGGTTGCCACCAGCAAGCAGCGCGTCGCGGAGCGGCGGCCGCATGGTGAAGGTGAGCCCCACCGCCACAGGGACGCGGTCGCCGAGCCGGCTGGCCATCAAAGGGTAGGGCTGGGAGACGACGGGCTCAGGGGAGGAGGGGCCACTGGCATCCGGGCCGCGCTCCAGGCGGGACAGCACCAGGGCGGGCCCAGCCAGCAGCACCAGCCGCTTGGCCTCCTCAATGCTCATACCAGGCGGCAGCTGGGCGCGGAGAGTGACGCGAGCGAACTCGGGCACTTTGGAGATGGCGATAGTGTGGCGGACTTTGGGTGGGCCTGGGGGCCCGGCCGCACGAGCAGCCGGACCCCAGGGGGCCCGCTGGGCACGAGGGGAGCCCCCAGCGCGCGCCTGAGGCCGAGGCCCCAAAGCAGGGCCGGGGGGCCTAGGGCGGATCAATACCGCTGCGTAAGACCCCATGGGGGTCGCGGGAGGGGTTGCTGGCCGCGGCGGCGGCTTCCGGGAAATTCTCGAAAAAAAAAAAAAAAAAAAAAAAATGGGCCGGGGGGTGACATGAAAAAAGCGTTTTCCACGATCATAATGTGCTTGTAATCTCCTGCCCATGCACGAATTGGTTTCCTCCATAGTCTAGTGGCTAAGATACACGGCTCTCACCCGTGAGACCGGGGTTCAATTCCCCGTGGGGGAAATTTTTTTGCACGGCAGGGTGGTGGTGGCCAGGGGCCTGCCCGGCCACCCCACCTTCCCCATTTTGCACCACTTTGTGGGGTGACCCTTGGACGTCTCGCCCGTTGCTTGTGGTCGGCACCGCTGGCGGCAGCAAGACGGTCCCCCATCGCCATGTACCCCCACCAAGGCATGCACCCTGGTCCAAGGAATGAACCTTCCGATGAGCGGCGCATGTGGAGACCTCACCACGCCATCCCTGTCTGTCTGTCTGTCTGTCTGTCTGTCTGTCTGTCTGTCTGTCTGTCTGTCTGTCTGTCTGTCTGTCTGTCTGTCTGTCTGTCTGTCTGTCTGTCTGTCTGTCTGTCTGTCTGTCTGTCTGTCTGTCTGTCTGTCTGTCTCACCCATAGTGAGCAAGTGAATGCTTCTGTCCAGCTGTGGCGTTGCAGGTGGTAGAGGTGCTGCAGGTGGAAAAGGTGCACGCACCATACGCAAACGGGGGAAGGAGAGGAGATGTGGGGTGCAGACAGAGCAGGCGGGCGCGGACCAGTGGAGGGATATTGCATGCACAAAAAGCATGACCACAACTAGCACTAGCACGATTTGCGCCCAATGGGCGCGGAAAAATGGGGGCGAAGCATTTGGTGCCCTTCGGGCACTGCATTCTGTTGCGGCGGCGCCATGGCCCTGCAACAGGCACCAGCTCAGGAGCATGGTGTGTTAGCATTTCCTGATTGCTGCTGTGGAATGGATGAGCAGCAAGTCGGCTGCAGCTCAATTCCTGTTGCCTGCACCTGCTTGCCGGCGGGCAGCAGCCCGCTGGCGGCGGCAGGTCAGGCGAGCATTTCGTGTGTTGCGGAGGTGCCGGCGCTGATCCCGAAGCCGCTGCTCTTCTGCAACCTAAAATTACTTGCAAATGCTCGAGCAAGAGCACGGCCCCCATTCATCTTCGCCGCATGAGCAGCGCTATGATCAGGAGCCGTAGGGCACCCATTCCGGAAGCGGAGAGCCCAAACAGGACGGAGGAGAGCTGGTGGAGTGAGCTTGGAGGAGCTTGAACCTGCTGCCTGCTGACGGGGCATGGGATTCCGTGCGTCCAAGCGCGCAGTAGCAGTCCGTTTGAGCTTCACATAGGTCTAGGAAACGTTTCAGAACCGCAACGGAGACGGGGGACACCAGCTGCTCGCATCTGTCGGAGATGGCAGGGAGCCAATTACTGCCTCGCGCGGAAGCCATGGCCGGCGAAAGCAGCCTCTGTGGATGCGAGGAGTATGTGGGCAACGGGAATCGACGAAAGAATACCGGGTTACACCAGTTCAAGCCTGGGCCTCTATAATTCAAAGGACGCGCACACACGGGGTGACCACCACGGGGGCGAAGCCCAGCGCGCTCCGCAAAAGAGCAAAAGAAGAAGATGGGAGTGGAAAGCATAGATGTTCACACAGGTGGCGAGCAAAGTCGTCAAGGAAGTCGGGACGTCAGATCGAGGCCGCCACGCGAGGTTGCCATGCGCCGACTCTTGAGTAGCAGTCACGTTGCGGTGGTGAAATGTGGGAGATGGTGAATGGGAGGTGCGTTCAAATGTGAAACATGCGGTCTCGAGCAGCTGGTTATTCCTTGGTAACCAGCTTCACAGGTAATTTGATACAAAGGCCTCCCACGAGTTCACGCCCTCTGCCTTGAGCCGGTCAGTGTCGAAGCGTAAGTTCTTGCCCTGCGATCAAAGAAGCGGTAGATTTCCAACATATTGTGCATCAAATTGCTTCCTTTGTCTACTTCCAACAATTGCTTCTATTATATAAACAATTCCCCGCTCCGTCCGGTGTCCACCCACCTTTGCGCAACATATCACGGTGGGGTCTCGCAGGCGGCCCTCCTTCACCAGCCGCCGCAACATGAACTGCACCGCCCGCCAAAGGGCGTTGGTGGTCACCACGTACTTCTCCTGCAGCGTCCGAGACTGTGGCACATACATGTCTTTCATTTAGTGTGATTGTACTGATGAAAATTCACTTATATGCCTATCCAAAATTCGCTTATGTGTCTATCCAAACATACCCAATCGTCGTGGAACATCGTGTACATGAATATCTCGTGGTCCTTGTACTGCTTGGCCTTGTTGGCCGGAGGCCGCCCTCGCGGGTTGCCAGTGGGTTGGCGGCCACCGCTGTGCCGCTTGGTTGGGCTGCACACACAAGGGTCGAGTTGATGGATCAACGCTTGTTCTTCCGCCTTTCTCTTCAACAACCAATCAAATTCGCATTGTCACCCGCTCACCTCTTCTTGCTTATCCGCTTCATCTCTCCAGCGGGGACACTCGCTGCCGCCACGGCCGAAGGAGCGTTACGCGCCAAGCGAAGTGATGTACGCTTGGCGGGCGGTGCACTCTCTGCTTCGGGGTCGGCCTGACACTTGGCAGCAACAATGGGCGCACTATCGCTCTCTACCGCACCATCAGTCTCGTGGCATGGCTCCTCCTTGGCCATCGGCGCACCGGTGGCACCGCCGCATGTGGTAGATGGCGTGGTCGGCAGAATCAGGAACTCCTCGCGGGCCGGCTCGGGCTTGATGATGACGGTGGGGGCACCGAAAGGAGGCGGGCACGTGCCGACAAGAAGAGTGGGGTCGATGCGCAAATCTTGCACAATCTCCGCATCCAAGATCAGACGGAGACAATCCATGGTTCTGTATGCGTGCCACAAGATCTTCCATAGCATGAGTGGGTCAGGTGTGAACCACACAGCCTTGCCAAGCTGAGCGCACAGCAGTGCGTGCCGGGCGGCGGCGACGGCGCGCGCAAGTGGCAGCGGCGATGGTGACCTTGTTGGCGTTTCAAGACACGCTGCCCCTAGTGCCCCTTCTGGGGACAGGCTAGGCTCCGTGGCTCACCCGCATCCAAGAGCCGGAGCTACGAGCTCTTCAGCTTGCGCGAAGGCCATGGCGCGCTCCTTTGAGGCCTGGAGGTTCTGAGACACAGCCAAAGTGCGACCACAAGTGGCGGGGGAGGTGCCGATGCTCTCGGCGAGGGTTCAAAGAATGAGAGAATAGGCACCGAGAATCTCCGCCTTTTGGGCTTCCCGCCTCGCACTTTTCAGGGTCTAACGACCAGTAGTTCACGATTGCGTCCTGATTGCTTTCACATCGAGAGTATATCAACTGGGTTTGCACCGAGCGCAACGGCATGCCCCGTCACGAGACTAGCGGCAGCGGCGGCGGGAGGCACGCTTACTGTTGTGCTGCTGCTCAGCAGCCAGCACCAATCTGAACCGCGTGCATATGTGCGCCCCGCGGTCCCTCCTCCGCCGCACTGTATCCGATGAGAGTCCCAGAAAGATCTCGTGGTGCCCAAACGTCTGCCAAACGTGGCTGGCGCCAAGCCGGCCGGATGGCTCCGTCTCTTGCACCGCTCTTCGAGCTGCGCTTGCTGGCGATGATGCTGCCCTGCATCTCCGAGCTCGCTCAGATCAGCATGCATTGGTTACTGCAGGGCCCCCGTGCCGTTGCAAGGCCGCCTGCCAACCGGGCGGCTCCTCACTTGTCGCACTTGGTGCTGGCGCCGTCTGCGTGCTGGTTGCTCGACTGTTGCGCTTGCTACAGCATAGCAGCGCTGGGCTGCATGTCTAGCCTCTTAGCTCCAGAGTTTGCCCACAGCATGCACTAGTGCCAAAGCGGCAACTCGCCGGTACCTGCTCACATGAATCAATGCCTGCAACAATGATTGCAACAAAATAGCGATGCATTTGTCTTGTGGCAGTTGCCGCCATCGCGAAGGATCCCAGTAAGCTGTCCTGTTTGTTGTGGCAGTTGTGGCAGAACCCTCGCCAACGTCCCCCCCGTGGCGCCATGCCGCACCTCGCCGCCGCCGCCGCCGCCACAGCAGCGTTTGCAAAAGCTATTGCCACATACGCAGCTGGCAGCCTCACGGCGCACCACCTGCCACCCAAGTGACTGACCAATGCGGGTGGTTGATTAGTGGGGCAGAGTTTGTTTTGCGCCCTCCATGCTGAGCCATGATGGGGCAGAGTGGACGGTCGTTGGGCCGGTGGGCACCTGTCGCAACAGGGCACTGAACCATTTCTGCAAACAGGGCATGAACCCATTTCTGTGATCAAATTAGCTTGGCCTGTCGCACACTCCGCAGATGCGAACAGATTCGCGGGGGCGGTAGGCCGTGCGCGCCTGCCCTCCCTCACACTCAATCTCGTTGCAACATGGGCGTGGCACGATCAGGAGCTGCGGTAGCCTTTGCGGGAGCCGGGAGAGTCCTTTTCCTGCTGGCAGCGGCGGCGGCGGCGGCGCCATATCAACTGGCAGGTGGGCTGGTCGCCAGCGTGCACCATTGGCCACGCAATTGACTGCGCAAAGTTTGTTGGCGCTCATTTTTGAGCTCTTTTCGCGTGCATGGCTGCAGGCGGAGGTGCCCAGGAGCGCCCTCGGGCGTTCTGTCCCGCCTCGCTGGATGGGCACCGCGGGGCGGCTCGCCAGCTCCTGGCCGTGGCCACCACAATCAGCTATAGCCGCTCGCGCCCGCCGCCACCCATGCGGCGTCCCTCCAAGCGCCCGCCACCACCGCGCCCGCGTCCCTCTCCAGCACCCCCCTCCCCTTCGCCGCCACCAGCCGCCACACAAAGTGAGCGGACGCGTGTTGTGTGGCCGGGTGGATTTGCTGTGTTCCCTGGCCTGCTGCCGCTCTGCCGCACACTCCTGCGTGTATTTGAAGCGGCTGGCTGCGCTGCCCTGCTTGTCTCGCCACAGGCGTGTGCGGCATGGTGCTGGAGGGTGTCGACCTGTGGGGCGGAGACCTGAGGAGCTACCCTGGCTATGATGTGGACGACTGCTGCCGCGCTTGCACCAGCCTGCTGGGTTGCGGCGCCTTCACCTTTGTGCCCTGGGGCAACATTTGTTACCTCAAGACGGCGGGCGGCTGGGAGAGCCTCGCCGACGAGTTCCTGATGTCGGTTGTGTTGGACAGCAGCGGAGGGGGCAGCTTGCTGCTGCTGCACCCCAGCCCTCCTCCGCCGCACCCCAGCCCTTCACCCAGACCTCTGCCGCCGCTGCCATCACCACGCCCGCCCCCGCGGCAGGCGCGCCCTCCACCGCCCTCTCCTGCCGCCACGAAGCGCCCGCCGCCGCCCGGCGTGGATGTGCCGCGCATCAACGACGGCAGGTGTGTCAACGGCAGCGAGCCCCGGGTGGTGCAGCTCCTTGGCAACGCACGCTCCACCTACCACTTCTACCACCCAGAGTACAGAGTCAGGCAAGCTTGCTGGATGTGTGTGCATGGTGCGCCAGGCGCACCACGCTGCGCCCGCTGTCTCGCGCCACCAGGCTTTCACGCTTCCGCAAGCCCCCGGCCTCGCCTGCCCGCCCAACTCCCCCCTTTTCTCCACCCTGCAGCACCTTGTACTGCGCCGACAGGTTTGCCGGGAAGACGCGGGCGTGGGTGATGTCCTACCCCTGGGTCGCCTACTGCGCGCCCTACCTGAGCGGCATGACCCAGGACAAGTGCGGCAAGCTGCTGCGCATGACCAACAACCGCACCGGCGCCAGGACCGTCGTCCGCATGGTGGACATGTGCGGGCACAGCGGTGAGCGAGGTGGAGGCGAGCTGGCGCGCCGCAGCAGGGAGCAGCAGCAGCATCAACGGGCAAGGCCTCCGAGCTGGTGCCTCCCCGCCTCCTCCCCTTCGCCCTGCCCCCGATGCAAGCGGATGGCTGGGCCCCATGCCCCGCCTCCTGCCCCCCCTCCTAGTGCAGCCATCGACGCCGACCAGCAGAGCGCCTTCATCCCGCTGGACACCGACCGCCAGGGCTACTTCGACGGCGACCTGAGTGTGACGCTGGAGCTGGTGGCCTGCTGACGGCGTTGCCGTGCATGTGGGCGGGCGCGTGACGTGCTGCCGCCCGGCCCCTCGGCTGCCCCAGGCTCAGATTGGCTGTCGCCTGCAGCCGTGGCCTGGCCCACTGTACAGTAGAGCTGCTGAACAGAGCTCCCCTCTTATGTGCATCCCCAAAATGTCATGTGTCGTTAGTTTTCAGTACCAGTGCAGTACCCAGCACTTATGTACCCCCCTCCTGGGCCCACCCACGCTACTGCTCACATGACAATTCTTTAATTCGTGCATGCCCCAATATCATTATTACCGCTTGAAGCCCTCTCTCATGTGTGCTCTCTCCTCAAATGGCAGGTTTCATTTCGCCAGAAGGCAAGAGCAAAGCGTGTCAGTCCAGCTGCGACAGGCTGTTGCTGCCGGGGCTGCTGTGCTGCATCGCCCCATCTGCCGCGCTTGCTGCTTGGCGCAGCTCATCCAGTACGCTGCTGAAGGGGCGGTAGGGAAGCGTGAGCACCAAGCTGCTCCCTGCCTTGTCCTTGCCTGCTGGCGCTGCTGCCAGGGTCACCTCAGCGGTGGCCCCCGCGGCACTGACGGCAAACGGCAGCTGCACTTCCAGCGGCTGGCAGCCGGGCGCCTGCACTCGGACCACCTCGGCGCATACTGACGCGCCAATGGCCCCAGGGTCACGCTGCGCTGCAGCTGCTGCAGCTGCCGGCAGCGGCACCGTGATGGCCACACACGTGGCCGGCTTGCCTCGGTACTCAATCAGCGGGTGCAGCTGCTCCGGTGGGCCCTGCTGCTGCTGGGCTGGTCTGGCTGCTGGCTGCGCCACCTGCTGCTCTGGGCCATCAGCGATGCCGCCCTGGGGCACAGCTGGCTCTGTCGCCTGCGCTATCGGGTTGGTAGCTGCCACCGCCGCCTGCTCCGGGCGCCGCTGCCGCTGCTGCCGCTTGCTGGCCAGCAGCGCAAAGGAGGGCTCCTCGCCCTCGGCTGGCACCTCTGCAATCAGGCGCTTGCCAGGGCCACCTGCGCTGCCTGGGCGCTGCTGTTGCTGCTGCCGAGCGGCGGCGTCGCCCTCCAGCCGGATGCGCTGCGGCGGCGGCGCATCGCCCTTGTACCGCATCTTGGGCAGCTTGTACTGCGGATTCAGCTCCTGCCCTGTCTGCAATTCCAGCGGAGCGTGGAGCGGCCATTGTTGGCATGGGCGCAGCAACAAGTCAGAGCAACGCTGGACTGGTGCAGGCATGGGATCAATCGTGTGGAAACGCGTGGCAGCCTGGCCCTGCCCTACCCCACCCACCATCTGCGCCGCAGTGCCCAGCGCCAGCTGGATGATGAAGAACTTGAGGGGGCGGTACTGGGAGGCCTGTGCCAGCACCTCTGAGCTGATGATGCAATCCAGCACTGCAAGAAGAGGGCACGGGTCAGAGAAGGGGGGCCATCAGAAGGCGAGCCAAGATGGGCAGCACGGCAGCGGCGCAGCCCGAGGTACTGTGCAAGAGAAAAGCGGCTGGCACAGCAACTCCAACTCGACAGTTAGCCTTGCGAGCGGCAGCACGGCGTCCCCGGCCACGCACCCATGCAGACCTCCCCGCGGTGGTCTGTGTCCAGCCGAGGCAGCCCCATGCTGAGCGGGAAGCGCATGCACGGCGGCGCCTCGCCGCCCCGCCCCACCTCCAGGTGGCGCTTGACCTGCAGGAGCAGCGGCAGGGCACCTCAGGGCGTGGCGCATGCATGGAGCCCAGCTCGTGCTCGCTGGCTGGCCCACACAAGCAGCTGGGCCACAGCGGGCAGGCCCTCACCTCGGCGGGCACCTGCCCCTTCACCCAGCCGGGAGGCAGCGGCAGCTTGTTGGTGCCGCACAAGTTGATGAACACCTTCTGGCCCTGCTCGTTGGCGGTCTTGATGACAAACCTGCAGAGGGCGTGAAGGGCGCGCCTAGGTGGCGTCAGGTGGTGGGGTGGGCAGTTCTGTGGCAGCCTGGTCGTGCCTGCTGCTGCGACGGGGTGCGAGTCTGCATAACTCCAGGTGCCTGCAGGCGGACTGCCTGCACCCACCCTGGCTCAGGAAACACCTCAAGCTGGTCGTCGGGCAGCGGCACCCCGCCCGGCGGCCCGGCCTGCATGGCTTGCAGGGACCCGAGCAGCTCCTGCAGCGTGGAACAGGCAACGAGGAGCGCCTTGAGGGGATCTTCCTAGCGGGATGCGGCGCTGCCAGGGCAGGGGCTGTGCTGCAGAGGAGGATGGCGATCCCGCTTGCCTCCAGCGGCGGCTCGTCTTCGCCGGTGCTCTTTGCCAGCATCTCCAGCAGCTTGCCGGGAGAATCAAGCGATGGGCCGGGCTGCGCCATCGCTGTCTGTGCGACTGGCAGCGTTGACCGGGGCGGATTGCAAGCGGCAGGCAGCTCGGGAGGAGCCTCGGTTTATGCAAGTGGCTGATGGACGCGATTGGGGCCTGGAGAGACGCCAAGAGGACTTCAGGATGCCTACCTGGCGGCGGACAGGGTGGCGGTGGCGCCGCCTTCATCAGTGCGCCTCAGATGCACAGCTTTGCATCTCTGTAGAAAGCAGAGCATCATACACATACCATACGGCTGCGCGTCAACTGGGGCAAAACACGACGCCTCCTGTCCAAGACACATCCAGGCAGAGGCCAACCCATGGCCAGGTTGGGCCCGGCAATGCTGCTGGCTTGGGCATGTGGAGCGCGTTGCAGCAGCTGACCAGCGGCGCCACTGGAGAGGCGCCGCCCCGCCTGCCCGCCCGTCTGCTGGCGTCTGCCATGGGTGCGCTCTGGGCGCCATGCGACACATGCCCGCATGCAAGCGCATGCGGATCTGCACCGATGCAATCGCCACGCCGATGATGCTCCACTCTTGTTGAGCTCCTGAGCTGTTCCACAGCTTCTGCTGATGACCAGCTTGGCCAAGCGCCTGAGGCTGAAAGCTGACGTGCACCTGCACTGTGCATGCCATCCTGGGCACCTGGCATTGTTGCACGCGCCCTTGCGCCGCTGAGGTGGCTCCTGCACACCAAGCCTGCGCTGCAGTCTGCTACAGATCCAAGATGTTCAGTTGCAACCAGTGCTCATTGATCTGCGGTTCCTTCCCAACTGCATTATAGACGTGGCTCATGAAAGAAGACGAGGTTGAAACCTGTTATAATGTCAAGATAAGCGCGGGATGATGAGCAGCGCTGCAGGTGTGTTTCAAAGGCTCAGGCTCAGCTCCGCCCAGGTGTCGTGCTGCAGCGCCGCCGCCTGCGCCTGCAGCGCCTCGCGCCCCAGCGACACCGCTGCCGCATCCACCGCCTCTGGCGGCTGCCCCAGCAGCTCGTTCATCGCCAGCCTGGCCACCAGCGGCGCCAGCTGGTCGCCGGGCAGGCAGCCCAGGGCGGAGGCGGTTGCCGGGAAGGCCACCACAATGCGCCCCGGATCGTAGCCGGGGTGGCTGCCCACCGCCAACTCGCCGTCTGGAGTGACGATGAACTGCTGCGACGTGTCCCTGCCTGGCAAGCGGCCGCCAAGCCCGCGCACCAGCCGCCCAGCCAGGCCGCCTGCCGCGCCCAGCCGCCGCTGGGCCCGCAGCAGTTGCTGCTGCTCGTCGGCCTCGCGCTGCCGCTCGGCATCCTGCGCCTCCTCAGACCCCGGCCGCTCGACGAGCCCCCCCGCCGCTAGCTCTGCTAGGTCCTCTGCTGCCGCACCCGCCAGCACTGCCGTGACTGCAGCCTCCTGCTGCCGAAGGTCGCTGCCGCCGCCGCCGCTGGCGCCGTCGGCAGCAGATGCCGCATCCTGCTGCTGCCCCTGTTGCTGCTGCGGCTGCTCAGCCGGCTCGCCGCCCGCCGAGCCCTGGGACACAAGCAGGCTTCTGGGGGGGCCCCACTCCAGCAGGGGCAGGCCCCAGCAGCTGTCGACGGCTGTGGGGTCGTCCACCGTGCGGGTGGAGCCGCTGCCCAGCAGCTGCCACACCGGCAGCGCGCCGCACTCCTCCGGCGCGCCCCACCTGCCGGCGGGCACCGACCACAGCGAGGCACCCGCCACCGCCAGCCCAAACAGTGCCAGCGCCTGCCGCTGCACAGCCGCCTCTGGCATCAGCAGCAGCTGCTCGCACTCGTACACCACCTCGTCCTCGCCGCCCCCTGCCGCAGCAGCGGCGGCGCTGCCCGCCGTGCGCACCGCAAAGTGGCTGCCCGCGTCGCACCAGCCCAGCAGGCAGCGCCCCGCCGCCACGTCGGCGCCCGCCCGCTGCGCCATGGCCAGCAGCGCCGCGGCGGCCACCCGGCCCTGCACCACGCCGCCCAGGTTGGTGAAGACGGCGGCGGCGCCGCGGGGCGGCCGCAGCCTGGGGAAGGCGGCGCCCACCTCCTCTGCTGTCAGCATGCCAAAGGGCAAGCCAGCTGCCTGCACACAGGCAGAAGGTCAGGCTAAGCTTCAGAGCAGGGCCGTGGGACACGGCCAGCGCGCCAGGCAGGCAGGCAGGCAGGCAGGCAGGCAGGCAGGCAGGCAGAGGAGAAGGCGCGGCAGCTCACCCTGCCCGCCTCCTGCATCGCGCCGAGCGCAGCGGCGGCGGCGCCGCTGCCTGCGGGCGCGATGTCTATGCTGCCGCACAGGTGCAGCAGGCTGCGGGCGCCCGAGGCCGCCTCCACGCCACGCCACAGCGCAAACGCCTCGGTGGCCTCGCTGCACGGCCGGGGAGGGCGTGTGTGAGGAAGGAGCAAGGCAGCAGGCTGTCAGGTGGCTGTCAGGTGAGCGGGGCCAGTCGAAGGCCTGCCCGCTGGCTGAATGCGTATTCTTTGCTGCACTGTTTCATCCTGCATTGTGTCCTCCATGCAAATCCATGCAGCCGCTCTAACTCACTTGACCAGGTGCGGGGTGGCGGCAGGCAGGTGCAGCACGAGGTGGGGAGGCACGCCGCTGCTGCCTGCCGCCGGCGCCAGCTGCGGCGCCGCGTGCTCTACCAGCACCGTGCGCTTGCCCCGCTTGGCCAGCAGGTAGGCCGCCGCCCGCGCCTGCAGGCCGCCTCCCAGGATGAGCACATCGGCGGCCCGCCGGCGCGAGGCGTTGGCGGCAGGGAGCGGCGCCGCAGCCGCTGCTACTGCTGCAGTCGATGGGATCATCAGCCCGAAGCCCTCAGAGTGGCATCAGTGCACCAATGGGCATAGACTGGATGCGGGGGAGGCCCAGATGGAGGCGGAAGCTTCTTGGTTTGCAACAAATAGGCTCGCACGACGCCCTGCTATGCAACTGTGGCACTGGGATCCTTATGCATTCATGCATGTGGCGACGGCCTGCCGGGAGGCCGCAACAGCCCGCATTTGCCCATCCCCTCTGGCTCCACGTCAGGTGGCACACCACAACGCCCTGAGTCCTCAGCGCCTTACAATGACCTTCTGGAGCCCAGCGCTGCACAATCAGCATAGGCAGCGCCGGTGGGGCTGCCATCTGCAGCGATGAACCCCCTGACGCAAATCAAGAACACTCAGAAGATCACCAAGGCGGAGATCGAGCTCGGCCTCACCGACAAGGCCTCCTGGCACGACCGCTTCAAGCACAGCGCCTACGTCTTCTCCGGCGGCCTCCCCTTTGAGCTCACCGAGGGCGACCTGCTGGCCGTGTTCGCCCAGTATGGCGAGGTGGTGGATGTGCACCTCGTGCGCGACAAGAAGACTGGTGCGGCGCTGCGCAAAGGCGGCGCGCCGCCACCGCAGACTCTGCCGCCTGCCGCTCGTCACCCTGCTGTCCAGTTCCTAGTCATCTGGCCGACCAGCCCGCCCCGCCCGCCTGCCCTTCGCCCGCAGGCAAGTCGCGCGGCTTTGCCTTCCTGGCGTACGAGGACCAGCGCAGCACGGTGCTGGCTGTGGACAACCTGGGCGGGGCGCGGGTGGCGGGGCGCGTCATCCGCGTGGAGCATGTGGACAACTACAGGCGCAAGCGGGCAGAGGTGAGCCTCCCAGCAGGAAGGGGCTGCGGGTGCGGGTGGGTGGGTGGGGTGGAAGAGACGGGTGGGTGGCCGCGGGTGTGGGTTATTGGGCAGAGAGTGGAGGAGCCGAGAGAGCTCTGCGGGTGTCGCTCACGCCCAGCCTGCTGTGCCTGCGTGCCTGGCCCTCGCCGTCGCCGCCTCTGCCGGCACCAGCGCCTCACATGCTGCCCCTGCCCCGGGCGCCTGCGCTGCTTCCTTGCAGCTGGAGGGCGAGCCTGTGCCCGGCAGCGATGAGGAGGAAGAGCAGGAGCGGCAGGACGCGCAGCAACGGCAGCGGCAGCAGCAGGAAGACGCCGAGGAGGGCGCGGCGAACGGCGGCGGCGGCGGCGGCGGCAAGGATCCCTGGGCCGGCGGCAACACAGTCTTCTCCCTCCTTGCTGCCGGCCCTGAGAAGACCAAGATCAAGACCTTTGCTGAGATCCAGGCGGAGGCTGCCCGGAAGAAACGGGATGCGGAAGCGGCGGCGGCAGCGGCAGCACAAGCAGCACAGGCAGGCGGGCCGGGCGGGCGGCCGGGCTGGGGCCCGCCGCCGCCGCAGCGGGCACGGGATGCAGGCAGGGAGGAGCGGAAGAAGGAGAAGAAAGAGAAGAAGAAGAAGCACAAAAAGGTGGGGGCGGAGGGCTGCATTCGTGTCTCCACCTGCGTTGCCATGCTCACACAATACCAGTAGGGGCGCTGCGGCATTCTACATGGTTGTCTGCAATCTGTGCGATGCTGTGTGCCTGCTCCTGCAGGAGAAAAAGAAGAAGGACAAGAAGGAGAAAAAGAAGCACAGGGAGGCCGGCAGCAGTTCTTCCGACGACAGCAGCGACAGCGAGGCGGCGGTAGCAGCAGCACCAATTGCAGCAGCAAGGGCAGCAGGTGACGGCCGGCGGCAGCAGCAAGACGCGACCGCGCCGCCGCCCCGCGCCGCGCTAGGAGAGGATGACCGTGGGCGGCGGGACGGCGGCAGCGACCGCTTTGGCGCTCCGCGGGTGCCGGCGCAGCAGCAGCCGCGGCAGCGTGAGCGGTCCCCGCTGCGGCGAGGCGGAAGGAGCAGGTCGCCGCCGCCGAGGCGCAGGGATGAGGGGCGTGCCCGGTCCCGCAGCAGGAGCAGGGATGGGCACTACCGCAGTAGCAGGCGCAGCAGGAGCAGGTCGCCGGCGCGGCGGCGATGATTGGTTGCATGCAACGCTGCCTCTCAATGGCTCTACCAATGCATCCACCTGCCTCATGTTGTCGCCACGGGTGTTAGAGATGGCTGGCTGGCTCAGACGAGAGATGTAGACAGTGAATAAGCAGGAAGCGGGAGCAAAGAAGGAGGGCTGTAGTGCATGGCAAGCAAGGATGCAAAAATTGGTACCTTCCTGTGCAAAAATGCAGATGTTCAAAACAGGGGGGGGGGGGGGGGGGGGGGGGGGTTTTTGAGAAAAAAAAA